GGTGCGGTGGCTCTGTGGCTAAGGATCTGTGCCTGTGGCTGGAAGATTGCTGGTTTGTATCCCATTGCCGGTAGAGGAATCCTAATCTGTTGGCCCCCTGAGCGAGGCCCTTAACCCCAACTGCTTCAGGGCTGCTGTGTAAATGACTGACACTGTGCTCTGACCTCAAGATTCTCTTCCTGTCTGTGTATCTCAGGAAAACAAGTTAGGGTATGCAAAAAGACAAATTCCTAATACAAGAAATTGTATTGGGCCAATAAAGTGATCTGATCTTCTAAGGAATTTGATCTTAACAAGCTGTGCAGGCTGTTATCCTGTACTTGATGGCTTATTTTTTTCTTTTTTTTTACCATGTTTTGAGAAAAAGTACACAGGAAGTTGAAATAAAAACAATGTTTTCTGCAGGTTAGTAGCTTGTCAAACCTTCCTTGGACACAAGTTCTGTGCAATGGGCAATACATCTGTATCCTAGTAGTGGTTTTGAAATTATAGTAACTTTATTGTATGTCTTTAGTGGTTTTGGTTATGACATTGTAGACAGAAATTAAAATGTCTGTGAACAAAGTGGCCAATTTCACCAACTAATACCAGGTTAGTTGACACCTCAGGAGAGTCTCTCTGGGTATATCAAGACTCATATTAGTGTGTGGCTGAAGAATCCTGATGAAAAAATCAAATGACAGAAACAGGTAAGAAGCTAATTTTCCTTTGACAAAAAAGAAGATAAAATCAAGCAATAGTTGAAGAGCTTCAGCTGCAAAAATTGTCTCTTGGAGACTTTGTATCTACTAACCAATGCTCACAGTATACCAAGGATTTAATTAGCTTTGTGGATGTAAGCAAACATTTTGGGAAAATTTCAGTTTGTGTTTTGAATGGTGAAGGGCAGAACAGGATACAAATAATCAGAGCAGCGTATTTTCTTGAGGTTTATTGAAAGCTCTGTGCATTTCTCACCTCATTTGGGCCCTAAATTAATACACTGCACATTTTCCTGCTTCAGTTTTTTTTAGTTTAGTTTTGCTCTTGGTAGGGATTTCATACTCATATACTGGTCCATATTGTCCCCATTACATTTGTTTTGCTTTTAAGAATTTAAAATAAACCTTTTTGTTCATTTTCAAGCATTTCAAGCGGGATAATAAAACACATTTTTTATTAATTCTGAGAGCAGATGCCACCCTTATGATCACAGACAGAAGCAGATAAGAACTTGTTTATTCATTTATTATTGATAAGCAGAGTGAGACAAGGATATGATAGTTCAGAATCACTGTGAGAACCCTGCTCTAGTCTAGCTTCTCTAGTTTATGTTCACTTTTGTAGTTGTACAGGTCATTAAGGAATAGCCTTAGTGCGTTGTAATAAGTTAATAAAACATTGTCCTATCCATGCATAATGTAGGTTGTTTTTCTTTCGTCCAAAATGGTCAAAATGGTTTGAGATTTTAGGTCTGGCTTTTCAGACACAATGAACTGAGCATTTGTGGATTTAGTTAACGGTTTCGCAGCAGTAAAAGCTTGGGCATGTTAAATTTAGTCACATTGTTAAAATGGTTTCATCTGTACAAGGGTAGGGTGATGTGAAGAAACAGCTGTCTATTTCAGGCTTGAGAATTTCAGGCTAGTAGAAAATTGCGCCTCGATTCATGCGAACAATTTGGTGGGATCGCAGAAACATATAATAGAGCAGGACCTGCAACAGAAATGTCCAGTAGTTACTGTTCTGGAGTTGTTTGCAAAAGACGTAACATGCCTCTTTTGCATTGGTGACCCCTCAATTTGTGTACTGTGCTCCAAAGCCCTTCTCGGGCAGATAAAAGCAGTCTCTTCCTAACCTTATTAGTGGCCGAGCCGAACGATCAATCCCATTGAGCGCGGTGCGCCTTGAAGGCCCATTTCTTCCCTGTTGTGCTGAAATGAAGCCGACGCGGACTGCTTGACAGGGTAATTAGTTTTAATGAAATAATACGGCCATTGTAGACAGCAATTAAAACCCGCTTTCATTCCAGTCATTAGAGGAACTTAAGGTTTGCTTTCATTCCACTGTTTTCTAATGATCTGAAGGCAAACCCGTTAAATTGAATACTTAAGCTTGTTAACCCCTTGAGACCACCAGACTTGCTTTTGCAAAGAGGGAGAAAAGGCAGACAGACGCACTAATACATATTTGTTTATCAGTTTTGTTTATTCCTTTTTTTCTAAGCCAATAATCTATAAAGATAAACTTTATTTAATAAAATTACATCCATCTTGACTTTTCCAGAAAATGAGAGTCTAAAACAGTGCTCTCCTTGTTTTGGACTTTCTTCGTTTTCCCTCCTTATGGATCCACCAGACAGACTTCTTCTCTGTATTGAAATTGCAAGGTTTGACTTTGCCGAGCTTTGGCTTGTTTGTTTATTTATTTATGGAAATAAACCACCTTATTCAAGGTCTTGTTTCTGTTCTATAAAGCGCTGAATTATTATAAGCCAAACAAGGCTGAAACAGGACAACCAAAGCTGGAATTCAGAACAGGTGCTTATCACTGTTAATCTGCCTCATGCAGAAGCTTGATGGTGTGATGTGAAGTTTAAATGCTTTCATTTTCATAGCTGTAGAGGTACATGAAGTCAAATATGAACAATATAATCTGTGTTACTTTGCAAAAATAATTTCTTCCATTGACAAACTACACCTCAGCTTCAACAATCGCAGTGCAATTCTTATTTGCAGTCCAGCTGACAATCAAACCTGAGGTTTGAAACCTGGGACAGTTCCCAGCAGGAAGATGCTGAGTCAATAGTCTTCAATTCTAGGGAGCAATCAAAAGCTCCTGAATAAATCCTGTTTTTCAATGAATGACATAAAGCTGCAAAGCTAATTGGATAAAAAGAAAATACCATGTATGATATGGTATATCATAATGATGGTTTTTAACAATCCAGCGAATTTCACAGGAAAGTGGGAAGTGCTAATATGGCAAATAACAAGAGAGAGCAATATGCTATTTTAGTAGTGCTGGTGCCCATTGATCTCTCATTTTTACAGTAGACAGTGTTTTACTGTACATCCATGCTGAAAATGTAAAACATTTTTTTCTTTAGACTTTCAATTGATTATGATCACTTAACCTAAAAAGATGTTGTCATTAAAATTTTGACATCTATCATTTAAAGCATTCGTAAGTACACGTGCCACTAAACTAATAAAAGATCTTATACCCATCAATGTACAATCAGTGCTCCTATGTACAGTTTGATGAAGGTCTTTGTTTTGAAAGTGCATTTGCTTTTCAAGTTGGAGATGAAATGAAATGATGTCAGTGTGTAGTGGAATGTTATTGGAATACCTGCAAACAGAAAAGGACAACATGACCCGATATTGTTTAACTACGTGGTGGGAAAGTTGCATGAGGACTGACAAACATACGACTACAGACTAAGACACTTTAGAAATTCACCATAGTTTATCTCTTAACTATTCTAAGTAATGACATTATGAGAACATGTGGAAAATCAGCTCACATCCTTGTACTCCTAATTACTTCCTGTGCTTGAAAATACCAAAAAGTGTGATGACAAACTTGTGGTGTGAATAGGGTGCTTGTGAGCTTGGACATGTAAAGGCGAGGTGTGCATGTGTATAAGTCTAATAAATTAGCTCAATAAGGCCAATTGCGGCTATGACCATCCCAGATCCAGTCAGTTACTGTATTGGTAATTACCCAGGTGGAATTAGCTGGGATCATTTGAGATCATTTCTTTATTGCAATAGCTGCTGGGTGTTGTGAAAGACCAGTCATCTGGTGACTGAGAGCCTTAGATAACTAATACAGACACCCAGCATTCCTCACAACGTGACTCCACATCAATGGTGAACACATCTGCAGGTTGGATGTATGTGTGCAGAATTGTAGAGGGGTAGATGGGAACCCCCCGGATATTGACAAAGGTTGGTGCTTTCTAATGAAGCCTTGTTTTCAGTCTCTTTTGACATGATAAAGAAAGCAACAAAAAGGTGTACGGGGGTCTGTGTGAAGTAAAAATATCATCATCAGTGGTGACATTTGGGATGATCTTCTTGTAGCCGGTCTTAAAATGTTATGTCAGTAGCATTTTTTCTAGACCTTGTTCCACCTATTGTCACGTAAACACCAGCGTGATCTTTTAACCAGACAAGGGCCACTCAGTGTATATATTTCACTTCATTCACTGCCCCACTGTACTTCTGTCTTGACCCAATCAAGCAGTTGTTGGACATGTTTGACGGGGCAGTCTTGTCAACAACAACTTCTACCTGACAAAAGCTCTCAGGAACCTGCATGTGGACAGTATGAAAAGAGTCTGCATAGGTTTTAATTTGTGTTTCACTATATATCTTTATACGGGAAAACTGTAACTTACATTACTTAATTCATTGGAATATCTTAAATATTACTGGTTTGGTTGTTGATTTAAAAAGTCATAAAAAGAGATATCAATACAACAACTATATCATTACGTAACAACAACTATATTTCAACAAACTTAATGAATGACCTTGAAGGTTACAGTTTTGTGTCTAGATCTATTTATATAGAATGCATGCCTGTGGTTATGTAAAAATTCTATTTCTGCCATTATTTATACATGCACAATGATTTTTTCATGCAGGGCTGTAATTATATTATACTTTCTTAATGCACTGCTCCTACCATTCCTCCCTCTGACTGTAAAAATTTGGGTCTATTAAATTAAGTTTTATAATTGAAAACTAAATTATACGTACGCCATAGGGATCTGCTGTAAAAAAGAAAACTGTCTGTTGAACAGGGGGAAGTGACTGCTAGACCTTTTTTTTAAAAAAATGATTTGAACAGCCTGTAATGTAAAGCAAAGTGTAGCTTAGATTGGCACAAATAGAGCAGGGCGTTCTATTTCTGTAAGCATTATAATCAGGCATTTGAGACTCAAGACAAAGTGCAAAAGTAACGCGTTCTAATTATTTTCTTTTCTCTCTGTCTCCTTCTCTGTGCAGCAATTTGGGAAAATTTTAGACGTCGAAATTATTTTTAACGAGCGAGGCTCCAAGGTAAGTGAGCTGGAACAACAGCGGTTATCTGTCCATTATTCTCTTTACTTTCATTTGTTTGATAATTACGCCTCACATTGTCTCCAGATGCCAGTGACACATTGATCACCTCCAACTCACCAGTCGCCTCAGCAGCCTGGAGTTCAACCCTCAGCACCTTCCTTTAAAAAGCAAATAAAAGCAATAAGCTACCATTGCCATATTACTGTATGCTGGACTCAGAGCAGCATTTCCATCATGGCATCTTCTGATCACATGATCTTGGTTATATTGACTGGATAAAACGTTCTTCTACTTCAGTGGAATTACATATAAAATGTTCACTGCTGCTGCCCCTTTTTCTTTTTAAGAGATCCAAAGGACACAGAGTGAACTGTTAGAGCAGCTCCTTAGCAGGCACTTTTCTCTGCTAGTCACAAGGAAACAGGTGCACCTCTGGGTGTGCAGTGTGCTAGCTTACAGTAAGAGAGAACCTCACTGATTCCTCACACGTCTACTGAAGAGAGATAAACATCAACCAAAACTTCAAATAAATAATGCTATCCTGACTTCACAGAGGGAGGAAGTCCGGAGACAGTGGTACTCTAATCTTAAGGATAAAGGATAGGTTTTCTGTGGTCAGGTTATGGGAGCAAAGCTTCAGTGGTAAACAAACATTTGATTGCAGAGAATCTACAAACAGAGATTCCTCTTGATGAAAGTTTACCATGGTAGATGTATTGTAATTTTATTACTCTTCCCCTGTGATTTGTAACTTACATTTGCTTTGGTGACTGATTTTTACTTTTGCTTTGCATTCTTGTATTGAAGCAAAAGTCAAATATGGTGTAGTGAACAGCAAAGCATAATGAAAGCATTTTAGAACATAGAAAATCAAGGTAAAGTGGAAAAATAAAGGGATACATATCACCAGGGTAAGCTTTCATAAGCTTTCATAAGGCACATATCCTTTAGTTGTCACCCCGGAATTCAATCTTAGTCAAGGGTCATTGTTTCTATAAACAGTCCAGCTCATCCACAAAAAGACACAGATCACTGTTCTCATGATCACAGCCTACAACAAAAAAGTTAACTATTCCTTGGGAGTTCTCAAAGCTCAAAGCAGTATAAGCTATCCAGTGGTCTACCTGGGGAACAGATGAGCCTCAATGACTTTGTTGGCCTTGTATAGTTCACCTTTTTCCTAATGCAGACATAAGATGCTCAGTACACCTCTGCTCATCATAAATGGCTACCGTCAGAAGACCCCACAGAAATCTCCAAGCGTAAACTCCCTCATAGATATTCGTCACAGAGACCCAGACCCATCCACTTTAACCTGAAGCCATCGCTTTATGTTGTAGAAGAAGATGAAGTGCCAGCGAAACTGCTTTCTAGACAAGAACAAGCTTTTATTGTTTGTGCCCAACAAAGCCATTACCCATGATGCCTCTTCCGCACCCTGCTTGCTATATAATGAACCTACCAGACCATTAATAAACAATCTATTTTCTAAGAAGCTTTTGCAATTTGCATTCAATATGTTTGTCTCCTTTGAAAAATGGTGGCTCCTCTCTCCCTCTGTGTAAGCTAATTATTTGTGCATGATAAAAAAAATAAAGAGGGCGAACGCAGTAGCACAAAATGTCAAAAGGATTAATTTTGCCCTCAATTCAGTTTTAAATTTATTTTTTATCTTTTTCTCCCCAAGGACGGCTCCGGTGTTATTTATGCTAGACGTAGGGCTGAAGAACCTGTATATGCATACCAGATCACGCTGCTCTCCAGCGCTCACATGCATTATCTCCGAAAGCAATTATTGTCCCATACTTGCATAGTATATATAAACTAAAAGACTGGGACTTGTTGTACATACTTGTTCATGGAGTATATCTAATAGCTTGTGGTGGGGTATCAGGTTTAGGCTACCAGTCCTCATAACTCACCAGTGACAAATCCATGAGGAGAAATTAAATGGCCTTTTCTCTTGAACAGGAGTGATGTGAAACAACAGTTACTTGGATATAGTGTTTATAGAAAATGCACCAGGATGAATTTTACACTGTAAATATGCTTTTGCAGCCTGTATTAATTACTGCCATAACGAGTCTGGAATTCTACCGCTTTGCAAAATTGGTGGCTTAAGGAGATACACATTGCAAATGTGAATGTTTATCTAGGATTATGCTGACTGTGAGTGGCAAGACGTTTTCAGACGTTTGTTTTCACAACCCGTTAAATCCCCTAAAAATTAAAAATCTCAAGTTTTATTACAATTGTTTCTTGCAATTTTTAACTCACAAAGTTGTTCACCACAAAAAGGAGCCATCTCATTATTCAGTTATTACAATAAATGCTATTATCTGTAACTGTTCACTTTCACTGTATGACTATGATGTTCTGAAGGGATTTGTACTTAGAAGGATTTTTTTTCTTGGCTGTATTTGTGGACAAAACAATCACTTGCCTTGCATCTGGACTGGTCTAGACTGCTGGTCTAGACTGGTCTAGACTCCTTATCGTCTCCTTTAATGTGTCAAACTTTTGCTTTTCTTTTTCTTTTCTAAAATGAATAGAAACCTTTTCACAAATATTATTTTACTTCTGTACAATTACATTTCTGTTTTCCTTTTAAGCATAACAGACAATTTGTCTCTTCTTCTTTCATTTTGTATTTTTGTAAACTGATAGTAGCAAGGAAAAACTGGACTCTTTTTTTTATAAAGTATCACGTTGAATCATTCAGGTGCTGCTTTTGTCTGTCTCCTGCTCTTCCAAATGTAGCTGATGTTTCTTCTTGATACTGTACTTTACTAACAAGCTCATGTTTGATGGCTGCTTAAAATTTTACCGTGTACCACTTATCTTGTACGTGTTCTTTTCTCTCTCTCTTTTCTTTTCTTCCCCCATCTCTCTCTCTGACCTTCTTCATCTCCTTCCTTGGGCTGGCCTGCCATTGCTCACAGGGATTTGGGTTTGTTACTTTCGAAACGAGTGCAGACGCAGACCGTGCGCGGGAGAAACTAAACGGTACAATCGTAGAGGGACGCAAAATAGAGGTGCCTTCCTTTTCCACTACTTTTCCTCGCTCACCTCTCCCTGTGTCTCCCTATCCCTTGTACTGCCTGCCTGTGCCTGTCCTGTCCTCTGTTCACCTTCACTCCTCCCACCTCTCCCCTTATATATTTCCCAGACTGAGCCTGACATCTACGTATTTGACACAACAGCTTCTTCAGTTTTGTTTGAAAGACTGTATACAATTTACTTTTAGAACATGAAATACTGTATGTGCACAAACAGGATCAAATTTAAGAAATACACAATTTCCTGAGGGAAAATATACAGTATAGAAAAGTTTCAGATTTGTTGTTGCTATTTGTAAATTATTTATTGTGAGTAAGTGCCTGCTTTATTAATACACATTTTTAAGAGCTAGAATCAAAGCACTGCCAGTGTTCCTTTAAAGCCTGCTTGTTATTTTTTTCTAGTTCCAGTTTGTTTTCACTTTCATATAGTATACTCAGGAGTAAACACTTAGAAGTATTTTCCATCTTTCTTCTGCTGCTGTTTTTTAACTTGTCTTTTTTATCTACCCAAACCATTAAGATAATTCACATGATGTATAAACAATACATAGGCTTATTTATCAATTCAGGTTAAAACCCGTTGTTTCCTTAAGCTAAATGACCTGCTGTGGCCCTGTGGAAATTAAAGCCATTAGCGATAATTAACATGAGAATGAAATACTAACATGGCGTTAAAAAATGCACCACTTTGCCAGAGGCCATATTACACTCCCTCATCGCTGAAGGAAACACTGTATTTCTTTGAAGTAAGATGTCAGGCATTGTTTACAAGATTCCAGGATAATGACCACCTCTTTTAAGTTAACAGACTGAATCTTGTTGAGATATCCCAACCCCTAGCAATGGTGAACAACTGCTGAAAGCTTGGATATTGTGTCTTTTTAAAGATCTATGGCCTGTTGCAGAAAACACCTTAACTTAAATTCCTCCTTTGTTTCTCCTTTATGTTTTCTTTGACTTTAAGAGCATAAAGGAAGTTACCAAAACCATAGAAAGACTTAATATTTGAGGCTTAAGATGTTGAGCATGTATGGTGTTTTATGCAAATGGCTGACTGGCTTCTGGTGTTATACATATACACCCTGCTACAAAACAGTGTAAGTCCAGTTTCCTGTCTGTACATTGTGCTAAAGTAACAAAAAAGATATGTGGTGATTCTCCAAATCATTGACTCATTAACTGTTCTTATTATTTAATTGTTCTTTCATGTCTGACAAGACAAAATACTGAGAATAAATTCAAGTATTTAACGGTCAGAAACAAAATAATGTTACTTTTTTCATTTCTAAAGTTGAAAACCAAAAATAATGCTTAATCAACTTTTAAATTTTTTAAAGAAGTCACATCTTCTTTAATATATCCAAAAAGACTTTTGAATTTGGTAGATCCTGCTTTAAAACATTTGATCTTTAAAGTGAAAGTGGTGCACTTGTTTTCTTTTACTATTGTTTATTAATTGAACAGATATTTGTCTTATATGTAGGGAAAAAAGTACTTTTTATGGATGGAATCAGTGATGAAACATTAAAGCTGCACTAGAAAGAATCTGAAAAGGCCAGCATGAGTACTGTCATGTGGGCTATTCACAGGACAGGTAGTATGTTGCTATGGTACCCCGTCTCAAGGTTTGGTCAAACCATGTTTACATACAAGTCCAGCAGACATGGAGTTAAACAAGAGCACTCCCCACAGCCACTGAGGCCCTGCATTTCTGGAATCGAATAAACACTACAAATGTGTGGCTTTTTCAGGACTTTCACTTGTAGTTTTAAAACATTTTTTTTGTGCAGCCTACAGGAAAGACAATCATCATAAAGTGTCTGTAAAGCATCTCAAGGAACATTGTGGCTGAATGTTGTGTAACTCGGGATGTTTTGTCTTTGGAAACAGGTAAACAATGCAACAGCAAGAGTAATGACAAACAAAAAAGTGGCAAACCCTTACACAAATGGTAAGAACTTAAGAACCTGTGTATAACCTGCTGCAGCGGGTTGAGTTGGTATCAAGTGCTGAGGCAAGCATTCTATGCATCTGTGTGCTTAGCAAAGATGTGAAAATGTTAACTAATAAAAAGTGTTGTTTCTCCTCATTAATTATGTTACAGAGTCTGCATTATTTTGTGCAGTGCACATTTCTCATAGTGGTTGTATCACTGGCACTTTAATATCTGCCATATATATTTTATATCTCATTTGTATGATAACAAAAATGAATAACTGATCCTTTAACTGAGATTGGCTGTTGACCATTGACTTGGAGAAGAAGACTTTTCAAAGGCTCTTTAGCTGGTATAATTAGCAGTGGCAAAATCAGCATGTGCAGAGAGAAAAAGTTAGTGAATACATATCATAGGCCATGCAAATGAGGCAGAACACATAATAGGATGTGCAATAAGTAGCACATTAAATTGGATTAAAATAATAATAAAATAATAATCACTTCAAGGCAAATTAGAACATTAAATTAAAAAAGCATTCAGCTGGCTTCCTAAACCCGTCATCGTGGTGTACACTGCTGCGGGGGAGTCAGAGAGACACTCCAAGGCTGGGCTTCTCCACACAGGAAGCCAGGTGTTTTTTGGGGGTAGGTAGCTAGATCTGTGGAACTACGATGGTGGGATTAAATGGAAAAGTCATAGCTCATTCTGTGCAAGGCCATCACAGGGCCAGCGCTTGGAGTGATTTTCATTTATTTTGATCGGTGCGCAGGAGGGAGAAACGAAGCAAGGAATTAAAGTAGTGGACATTTCACCCCCCCACACACACACACACACTTGCCATCAGCGAACCACGCTTTTGGTTTAAAAGAAATGGGCGATTTGCAGCCTCCATCCGTCACTGTCATGCAGCTGGACAGCACTTACTGCTACCTTTCCTCCTTTCTCTAGTTTTCTAGTCTTTTTCTCTTTTTTTTCCAAGACAGCCACCATTTCCTCAACCTCACCTCCACCCTCTTCAATTTTTCTCTTCTCTCTTATTTTAGTGCTTTCGTGGTTTTTCTTTTGACTCCATATCACGTTTAGATCTCTCTCTGTAAATAGTTAGGTTAATGATTTCAATGTGTGTTACGATATATGAAGTTCTAATATTGTCTTCCACTGTGTCCCTGTAGGGTGGAAGCTGAATCCAGTGGTGGGAGCTGTCTATGGTCCTGAATTTTATGCAGGTAAACAACTGGAAGCTGTATGGCTCTAGTAGTTTTCATCTAACTGAAAATGTACCTGTTCACCATGAGTAATACACCAAATTAAGTATATGACAGGATTATGAGGTGGTTTAGTCAAAAACTGGCTTAACCTGCTTAGCTGAGGGCTAAACTGGCCAGAGGACGAGGAGGTTGGGACCCCCATGCACAGGGAGGAGTGACCAAGGTGCAGCTGTAAAGGTGGAGATGAGGTAGAGATGGGATGTTAAAGATGTATGAGAAAGGGATAACATAGTATTTATAATACTCAGGACTGATTGAGAATTACTGACAGCTGAATCTGATTGGCTGAACTTGGCTGTTGTCATTCCTCCCGATCTTTCGTTATAAACTCCATGAAGTGTGTGACCCAGGTACTGCTTACCATACGGCTGAATCCTCCAATAAAACCGAACTAAAAGGAGATGGCTACACAGTCAGAAGCACATGCATGGTAAAAGATTGCAATAACGGTCCTCCATGAGGTTATGGAAAGTGGTCAGCTGCAGAGGGCTGCTTTAGCTTTTTTCTGGATTGGACAATACAGACATGAATAGAAAAATGAAGTCATTGGAAAGGTAGAAAAAAGACTCTATTAGAATTGAGCGTGAATATGGCAAAGCCAACTGTAGAAAGCCAGCCTTAGAGAGCTATTTTCTTCAAACAATATCCTTTTTTCCAAAACTGTGTTTTTAACATACAGTACCAATTTGCCCTTTTCTGGTGTTTTGAAGTACTGGTATCCGAGTGATTTCAACGAGCATGTCAATGCTTACTGGGGATCCCATGTAGATTTTCAACATGTGTTGTTTTGACCCTGTTAGTCATAGGCTACTGTCAAACCACAAAGCTTAAGATACAATACGAGACAGTGTCACAGGGAAAAGTACACCAAGCACCGAGTGGAGCTTGTGATGTCATTGATCATTCCCAGACTAGTCTTGAGTGAAAGGTGCTTTCACCTTTGACTTTAGCCTTTGCCCTGCCACCCTGACCTCTCAATTCAAATTATCTCTGCTTTCAGTGCCCTGTCATTGCCCTACACCAGTATTAATAAACTAGTGCCCTGCAAAACTGAATCTGGAGACTTAATTAATAGACCCTTCAGACTGTTGACCTCAATCAGATCACAGTCTTTTCTGCATTATGTGAAGAAACGGTGACATCAAAATAGCTTCCTGAGCCATGATTGGAACTAATATTGGCCTGTCCAATTTAAAGGAAAAATTATCCATGACTAGCACTAATCATCGGCAGGAAAATGTCATTGATTGACTGCAGTTAGTACTATACATTTTGCAGTGGCTTAAGTGGTGTTTTCAGTGATAGGGTTTTAGTTGATATGCAGACGTTGTTGCAGCTCTTTTCAGAATCAGATCACATTCCTAATTACACCACTCAGAATTTACAGCATTATAGATGAAACAAAAGGAAACCAAAATATGACAGTAATTCAGAATAAATCAGATGTCAAAATGCAGAAGGAAAAATGTCATATACAAATGATACAAATACAAATGATAGAAAGGAAAGATAAAATAAACTGATAGAAAGGAAGGATCACAGAATCCCACGATACAAAACTGGAAAACAAGCAGTGACTTAGAGTCAAGGCATTTCACCCTGGGCCATCTTATTGAGATCTACAATCTATAGTGGAGTCTGCAGATACAAACAGATGGGTTATCAAAGCATGCTAGATTGACTTTTGCTTTGCAGAGTTAACTTGCAGGGAAGATGAAGAGAAAGCACTTGCTTGGCAGGGGGCCTGTTTTAGTTTGGTATTCTTCATGGATTGTTTCATGAAGTAATGTTGACTTTTTCCAGGTTTTTTTCTGGGTCCACGTGCAATTTTATTGCCATGCTTTATCCAAACCCTTTGCATCTTAATGAGTGGGAAATGGTATTATTTCATTTGGAAGAAGTGCTGAGCACATCTCGCCACTTTAACGGCTTTCCTTTTTGCTCATTAGACTAAAATCTGTTCATTCCCGGACAGCTTTACTGCGAACCTCTAAATAACCGGCTGTGACAGAAAGCAGTCATTTATCATTTTTATTTCAGCTCCCCCCCTCCCTCTTCCCTTCATCCACTATTCCCTTGCTTGACACCTCCCCCCCCACACTAGGCATGTGAACACAGACACACACACCCATACTGACACACACTTTCCAAAAACATCACATCAAATCAGATTTAATGTGGTCCACCACTTCAGCTCTCTGGCTTCGAAGCCGGGGGGTTGCGAGATTTATTGGATGCTAATTTTTCAAGTCGTCTTAACACGGCGCTAAAGTTTGCCAAGCCTAAACGACACCATATGTTTCACTGGTTCCCAAGAGAGAGGTGGCTATGGAGTAAAAAATCTCAAATGAAATGTATCTTCGAAAGTAGTTATAGTGAGTATAAGGAAAATCCCAGTTTCTAGACCCTGTTCACAACCTCTCCCAAAAATCCTGTGCAAGAGGCCTATGGATTTATTCTAGAATAATTATGGCTACATTTAATATACTTTGGGTAGGAATAAAATGGGATGTAAAGGCGATTAATCACTGTTTATCAGTCCTCGTTTCTGTGCGGGAGATCAGCGAAATTGGGCACCATAAATCGTGGCATGGTGACAGCATACTTCGTCTCCATTCGTCCTAGTGCTACAGGTTTATTGTCCTCAAATCCCATTCAGGAGAATGACGGATGAGGTCTGGAGACTGCCTGCTTTTAACCTCTTCCAGGAAAGCCTCGCTTTTCTTCCCAGAGTCAGTGAATTCCACCCAACTCAGACTGCAGTCAAGTGTTTACAGCCCCATTTGGTTAAGCACAAAGCTAGCTCATGCATTTGGAAGTTTTGGAAAACCCTTCTAGATCGAATTAGAAATGTAGACACAGGGCACTGCTGTTGACCCTGTGCTGGAAACCTAATTGTTTAAACTTGCCTTTTTTTGTCTTTGCAAAGCAGTGCAGAGTGAGTGTGCATGAAGGACAATGAAGGAAATGTAATACTGATTGATTGACTGTGCCCTAGGTCAATGCATTTAGAGCTTGTCACCATGTTGAACAAAACAAATAAGACTTTTAAAAATTAATTCATGTATTTTGTATATCATAAAAATGTTCTAGGCTAACAAGTTTGAAGATATCTCAGAGCCAGGGTTCAATCCTGAGTTGCGAGCAAAACAGTTTCTCAAACATCCACATCACAAAGGGAATGAAGAGTTTATCATGGCATAACAAGTATCTTCAAAAAGGAAACTAATAATTGGATCAGACATTTGATATTCGCACAATTATACTTAATCATATTAGGATTTTTATTATTAGCTTCATTCTGAAATGCCTACAAATTAAAAAGAGTGATTAAGGAGTCTCTGCAATATTGTGGCCTGGCTGATGATTATTAACAAGTATTACAAGTAGCTGCAGTAATAATTATCCCAGTCCCTTTTGGAAGAACTCTAAACAGATACTGAACACAATTGTAGTATTTAAATAACATTGGATACCTTGCATGTCTTTTTTAACAAGAACCTAACACAGGCTCACATAAGGTTAAAGACTCTCCTAACAGAGATTGAAAGGAACAAACTCAGCCTGGCTTTGATGTCACCACTGAGTGAGTGAGGAGACAATGGGACATTACATCAGTGAATTATTCTACACAATGGGAAATTACTACACTCATGAATCCTCATACGAGAGCCTAGGTTTGCAATGAGGAGGGCAAAGCTTGTTAAGGAAGCATTAAACCAAAGCAGCTCTGGAAATGACAAAAACCCTAATTACTGCCTTAATGCATGTAGATAGATCTTTTAATTGTTGGAGGATAAATTTAGGGGATAATTAAGCATCCTTTCCTTGATTAGATTAAGCTGTTTTTCAATGTCCCAATGCTTGGATTAAGTGTTCATCTTTAAATTTATATGACTGAAATATAAAAAGAAGCAGTGTGGTGGAAAATCGGAGAATAATTTGGGGTGATGCAGACTGCTTCATGCACAGCCGGCTTGATTGCTAAGGGGCTGCTGAGGCCATGGTTGTGTCAAACTGTACAGGGGAATTCTCCTACAATGGCATATTAAAAGAAAAAGAATAACGTAGTACCTATGCTTCCAATTACCTTGAAGCATGCTTAAGAACTTACACCGATTGGTAAGAAGAGACCAATACCAACCACAGTGCTATTTCCCAATGCTCTAAAACTAGTACCCATTTAATAATGCATTGCGGTTCTATTTCAAAACATCATGTAGAAAGGGATGTTCTGGCTTATTAAAAACTTTTTTTTACTTACTGAGTGATTCTGGGGCATGTTTATTATACATTAGAAAGGACTGCTTTATACTAACACCCCAGAGCCTGACGTGAATAAACTGAACTACAGCAGCTGTAGTTTAAGTAATGTTAAAAAATATATATATAGTCGGAAGACCGTCACAAACTCTCCAAGCCTACTGGCTGCTGTTGTAAGGATTTTTATAAGCAGGTGTGTTGAGGGTCAACTGTGCTAGAATGTGGTTTTGGAAATTCTACACTAGTAACTAATAGTAATAGGTTAGTCCACAAGATATAGAAAAGAAACATTATTTTATATCCCCTGTGTATTTTGTTTTTTTCATGCTATGTATATTAAGCAGAAAAGTATCAGACTAGAAGGTTACACATCCCACAATACAATATGTTTGGAGAAAATAACCTAAACACAGACCAGCTCAAGTGAATTTGAGGGATTTCCTCTTTGTACATGAAAGTCTTACTCAAACAATCCTAATTCAGAACTACAGTACCATGTCCTTTTGTATTAAGTTTGTGCTGTCTTTATTTTCAAAAGGCTTCCTCATGAAAATTAAGTTCCTTCAGACTAAGATGCTGAAACCACTGTGGAACGGAGCACAGTTTGCATTGTTGTTCAAAAATGCTTTATAATGTGACAGCACATTTGATTTATTGTTTATTACTGAATCAGCGTACCTCATTAACCTATAACTCATTTCAGGATTACACGCACATACATCACAAAGCTATGTAACATGTAGGTAGAAAAAAGGAAAATCTATACATCTAGTGCAGAAGGCGCTTAAAAAAAACTGAACTCTTGTATAATACCTTGTGAACCTATATAGTAGCTTTAATTGAAGATGATTTAGAGTGAATTTCGAAACACTAAATTTAAAAAATGCCAGTCTTCTCCATTATGTGTGGCAGGAAAAGGGAACACTAGTTTTTGGGTTCCCTGGAAGGTCTCAGCTTCTCAGCAAAATATGCCACAGTGTTCTAGCTGTTGTTGTTTTAACTTTTTCTTTTCAAACACAGCATGTCTCTTCTGCAATAGAGATGTATTGTTTTAATTCACTGAAAAACACTAATGAAGTGTGATGTTAATGGCAGAAAACATTAACCTGCCTGTGCTTAGAAACATCACATCTCTGTTTTTTCTGTCAGTCTTATTAAAGGTAGAGTAGTATTCCGTGGAGGAGGGGATGAAAAACATTTTGCAGAAAATTAAGGCTATGAGGTTTTCAATCTGAGGGCCTCTTGTTAGTTTGTGATCTAACATGCATAAAAATAATTTAAGCTTTCCGCTGGCTTTCATAGTGCAGAATAAAAAATATAATCTAAAATGATTGTTTTTCGTGTGTATGTTTATATATGTATAGTTTGTCATATATCAAAACTCTTACTTTTAAGATAAATTATTTACATCTTAAAATTTTCTGTCAACAGTTCTTAACAATGATGCCACACTTCATCATTCTCATGATTGTCACGATAATGTTATGCAGGTATACTGGCAGAGAGACTCTACCGATAGTTTAGCTCATCATTTCAGTTCTTTGGTTCTCATTTTTCTGCACTGGGCAGTGTAGTATGTCAATTTAAAATACAGGGAAATTTGTGCAAGCACAAGGGTGAAAGGTTCGCTATTCTTTGTCGCGCCCTGCTGCAGTCTTTCCTCTGTTTTGGTATTCCGGTATAGAAATTGAAGTAGGTTGTAATAAATGTTATTAAGCACTCTTCTCGTAAAAGAAAGAGAGGGTAGAGAATAATAATAGCACTGATGGTGGAAGAGAAAGAGATAGGTAAATCTTGGAGAGCTTTTGGGACATGGCAGGTTTATGGCAGTTGTTCTGGCATTCAGAGACTGGGGCTAGTCCATATTGAGCAAAGCAGTTGCAGTGTGCTTTGTGATTGTCAACACATTCTGAGTGTCCAGGTGCTTCATGTACAGTGAACACAGGACCTTTGGATTTCTGGTTGTAGTACCTAACTCTGTGGTCTACTGGAAGAAGTGTCCCTAACTCCAGTTCTCCAAGACTGCAATACAACATATTTTCTAGGACTTTCACAACTTCCGCTGCTCGGGATCTAAGGAAAAAGGGTTAAAGTGGTTCAATCAAAAGTAAACCAGATCGTATCAATCAATTTTCCAAGGGTCTTTAGCTGTTGATCATTTAATAACCAGTAAGACCTAAAAACCTATATTGTGGCCAGAGCTGGGGACCCATATTCTAGAAGAAGACCCTCAAGACCCAGTCCTCATGGAAAAAGCATTAGTAGGTTTAGGTAGTTGCTTTAAATCACTAACTGCACATAACTTCAGGAGAATCTCAGGAGATACTATGTCACGTAAATTTTAAACTGAGCCAAGTTAACCCTCAAGCAACAGTCTGAAACCCATTTAAGGAGCTCTACAAAAACTACTGGATGGTTCAGAGCCATAAAACCCAGATGTGGGCAGCCCTGTTCTAGACTAGTGATTCTCAGTGCACACAGGGTTTTTTTCCCCTAGGGAAGTAATGTTTTCTTGTGATTTGTTCATCTCATTCTTCTTTCAATTGACCTCATAGAGAGGAGCTTTGTAGGTAGTTGGTCAGCTGCAGCTGTATGGATTAATGGTTAGGAGCTCTGTACTTGGAATTGCATGGTTATGGGTTCAAATCCCAGATGGGCACTGCTGGTGTACAGTACCATTGAACAGTCACTTGGAATGTTTAGGTAAAAATCTGAGCAATGAAAATGGGTATTAATGTAACCCAGGCTGTAGCCTGTACAACACTCTTTGTGTCAACATAATCTGTCAGTACCTACAACAACATCTTCTTCACCACTGACTCATGTGATGAGAAGGTGCACAGTGTCCTCAGACTGAGGCCTGGATTCATGAAGGTTGCAAAATTTAAGCCTTTTCTGTACAGATATTTTTACATTTTCTCACATATTTTGAAGAACCAGCTTGTAAGAATAATGCTTTATATTTATATTTATTGCAAATCATCATACCAGAGGTGAAGGTTCTCTTCAGCTCACAACTGACAATTTGACTTTTTAGATGAACAAGCAGAACATGGGTAATCCAGTTGGCTTCAGAGTCTTACTGTTTCTTTGACTGATTATTTAGCTAAAAGATGTCAAGTTGTTTTGCATAGGTGCAAGATCAATTCTGAGGTTGGCATACATATCCATTTAGACAAAACCATAAATTTGTTAAAACTCTTTTTAAAATAATTCAACTTTGTCCTTTTTTTTAAAAAAAAAAAGATTACTGTACTTAATCCATTATCAAATACTGAAAATCTAGACCTGATGATGAAAATATGAAATGTATACCTTTTGGAGCTTTTTTTATTGAACACAAAGGTTCATTTAACAAAACAGTAGATTTTCTTTATATTAGACTATAATAGTTGTGTAAATTCCAGGTTATAGCCCCGCTTTTCTATTCCTTTGAAGCAGAGATCTGTGACACTAGCATTAGAGAGCCACAGTGCTTTCTGCTTTTAGATATAGCTGAACTGTAAGTGACTTAATTAATTGTTCCAATTATTTGCTTAATTAGCACACGCTGACTTGTTTCCCTGTGGCCTGCTGCATGAAGCAACATAAGCTAAAATTCCCCTTAGTTTTCTCTTTAAGTGTTTTGGTGTTTAAGGATATTGCATAGCTTAACAGATTAAAACCAATGTCATAGTGAAACAGCATCTATATTTAATACATGACGTGTGTAGTAATTAAGCTATATCATGTAACCAGGGACAGGACTCTGATCATTGCCTGAGTGTTATATTGTGCTGTCTAACACTACAATTCCCTTGTCTCCCTGCAGTAACTGGCTTCCCCTACCCCACCACAGGGGCAGCAGTGGCCTACAGAGGTGCTCACCTGAGAGGCCGGGGTCGTGCTGTTTACAACACATTCCGTGCTGCCCCCCCTCCCCCACCCATCCCTGCATATGGAGCGTAAGTATACATGCATAAGCCAGTCTGTGGCCAGAAGCCTACAGTATATATCCCATTGCTTATGAGCTTGTGAGGCCTCTTTCCATTCTAAAAATCAAAACCCAAATCCACAGTTACTGCAGACGGCTGCATCAACCCAGATCTAAATTTCTGATCCGGGCCTTTCATTTTCAAGATTTACATTATATTAAGTGATTTAGATCATTAGTTTCTCCATTCCCCCAACCTCTCTGACTTCCTATGAAGGAAACATAGGTTGATGTTTTGTTGTTACTCTCACAGGGAACCTCATGATTCCACTTCCAGAACATGCACATACAAACTCAATCAAGGCTGAATTAAATTTAAGAAGCAAGCTGAATATTATGGATCTTAGGCTGCAGGTTTTGCAAAATTCTTCCAGTATTCCAGGGAACAAAGCACTTGGTAAGATGACCCCTGTGAGACAGGGATGCTTTTGTCTTGGTCATCTTACTCGTCAAACAACAGATGCAATGATCTAAGTCCTTGTCATGACACACGATTCCTACACTTCTTTCATTCTCATTCTCTAAGTAATAGAAAAATTTATTAATTTGTTGGTGGTTCCTTAAAGCCTGCCTGGGGCAAAGGAAATGCCAGCGGCATGATAAATTTTTAAGTGAAGATTAAAACATGTTAAAATGGGACTTTTCTGCGATTTGATCTGGCATTCTGTTCTTTTCATAAGAGTAATTTGTATTTTAATATTGGTCTTCACAGATGATTAACCACCTTCTTTCAACCCAGAGTCTAACTTTGTAAACTTTTTCATGTGTCTCTATATGATTTATTCATTATAGTCACACAGATTGTTTATATTCTTACTGTTTGGTGGGCCCTGTGATCTACAGCTCAACAGCTATTATAGAACAAACTAGCACTTCTAATAGAGTAGAAAATTGTTCTTTGATTCTGAAATCACTATATTTTTCTTCTTTATGTGCCATTTGTTATTTTTCTGTGATGTAGCTATTATTATGTCAGACTGGAAAAACAGGAAACATCCACAACCATGAAGTTAAGGTTATGTTTATCTGCAGAGTGAACATTGCTTTCTGTTTCTCTTAAAACCATCTCAATGGTTCTCTAATTAGAGACTAATTTGAAAACATCCATAGCAGGTAGTATTTGGCATTCAGTCTTCATCTGGGCCCTTTAATCAGAACAATATAAAAACTGGAATTCAGATCATGCAAAATAGATCCTCTGTAAAATAATTTATTGCACCTCCTGCTTATTTTCACAGAGTGGTTTACCAAGATGGCTTTTATGGTGCAGAAATTTATGTAAGTACAACTAATTTTTTTTTGCCTCAAATTTTTATAAAAAATTAGAAGTCTCTTGATAAATGTACCTGCTTTTACTGAATGTTTTTTTGCAATGCTGCCAAGCCTGTGTTGATCAGGTCTTTGCGTGCCGTGCCAAGAAGCCTGACAACAAAATTTAAAACCCCTTCAGCGATGCTCTGCTGTGCAGATTCACTGTGATCTCAGACCTTGGCACTTGAGTGAGTCTGAATCTTTCATAAGCTGATGTCAAGTGGGGTTGCGTTCTAAAATTAGACAGGTTCTAGGGCTGCCCTCACCAGCCTGTGTAAGATCTATCTGCACCCTTTTTATTGGGTATCGTCAGGTCCGTTTAAAAACAATACCCACTGGTCAAGTCAAACTAACTCACCTTTCAGTCAGTTGTAAGCACAGGAGCAACTGCAGTTTCTTTCTTAGCATTCCAGCTGATATGTAACTTGAAAAAATGGAAACAGTGGTAAGATAAGTATTAGAAATATACAGATGTACAGGGGAAGTGTCCGAAGTATAAAATGCAAAGTGTAGAAAGGATAAAACTTCCAAGCACATCAGTAAGCCATTCCTGTTTGCTGTTTTATTTTTGTCCATTAGGATACTGAAGTTGTTATTTGCTGTTTTGTCTGCAGTCAAGCTTGCATGCCACTTAATCAGATCCATGTAGCTTTTTTGTTTGCTATAAAACTACCTTAGAACATTGAATGCACCAAGCAGTAAAAAATAAATTTCACTTTGCAAATCACCAAGGTGAAGTCTTTAATTGTTGCTATGGGTAGACTGAGATAATTTCCGCCCTACTGTCTTGGTTGCTGCGAAGCAGGGTGTAAGCTTATTCCATTTAGTACAGAAGTAGCAATGCCATGCACATTGTGTACATTTGCAAGCACACAGCAATGAAAAGATGTCATACTGTATATGGTTCTGAGCACTTGAGAGTGTGTTACTCTTAGCAGTCCCTCCACGTGTCGCCTCCTGACTTTCACAGGCTACTGGGAAACAGCTACGGTGTGCATTTTGGTGCCCTTTCAATTTGCCATTGGATTCATCACTTCATCACTCCCCCTGTCGGACATTTTTTTACTGCTCTTTTCTGCTACCACTGTTGGCAAAGTCCCACGTACTGTATTAGTTCTGTTTTGTGCGGAAATATTCTCTCTGTGTGCCAGCCCCTGCATGAAAAACACCAGCTCCCCCTCTCTGCCCTTTTCGTCCTCCGTATTGGCTTAATGTGCAAGATGTTTGTCGTTACCTATTGATTTTTTTTTTAAATAAGGTGGCATTTCTTACTCAATAAACATCAGTCAAGTTCTTTTGCTCTGACTGCAAATAGACTTCTCTGGTATTTTTTTTTATTTTTCACAATGGAAAGAAAATAATACTAATACTTCAGTCGTCAACTCTCAGCCTTTGTTAAACTGACATCTAATACTATCTGTCAGAAAATATTAGGCTGTCAGGTGATCAGATGGAGGCAATGATGAACTCTGAGCCAGCCCTTGCCTCTCTAGACAGTACTGTATCACGCAAAGATATTATTTGCAATGGAATGTGGATATCAAGTGATGATTTCAGACAAAAATATAAACACCTGACGTTTAAATAAAACTAAGGCTTTTCCAAAATGACTCATTCCATTTTATTGTACCCAAACTTGTGTCAAACTGACGCTTATTGGAAAAAATTGTAAACTATAGGAAAATATTATATTTATGAAAGCTCCCGTGTGGCTCAGTTGATAAAGCTGCTTACTCTGAATGCAGGTTGAATACTATTATATACTATGGATATAATACTATCCATATATGGCAGGTTCGAATTTGGGTCATACCACTAGCTAACTGTGACCAGGATTCCCCAAGTGGCAGTGCCTCAGGGTGTTATCAGGGAGGGCTCTTGGCTTCCACTGAAACAACAACCTCTGCCACAATCTGGGCTCCTCCAAACTCACAGTGCCATCAGTGAGGCACATGGCTTTCTGTCAGTCAGTACCGAACCTCCTGTAAGTCAGGGCAGGGCTACTATTGTGTCTATTGGCTAGATGGGTGAATAGGTCAGAGGAGATTGTCTGCACTTCACTGCTCTCGCAATGTAGGTACAGCTGTCGTTGCTGTGAGCCAAAATGTAAAAACACAGTTAGTGATTCCAAGTCGGGTGGGTATAAAGTAAAGCATTTCAAAACCTGCCAAACAAATTATGTTGGTTGCACAGTTCAGCAATGTAGCTACACAACCTACACTACATTTGACACTGAGCAAGTTCACTTTCAAAAATGGATACTAATTAGGTGTGCTTCCATCAATCTGTTATCAGAAACCCACTTATTCCTGATAAGGGCCACCGAGATCTGAAAGCACAGGGTAAAAGGCAAGGCTATATCCTGACAGAGATACTAGTCCATCTCAGGGCACACACACATGTGCAATTTGGGAGATACCAATTAACCTAACCAGCATGTCTTTGAAAAGTGAAAGGAACACCCAGAGAAAAGCCAGCTGAACACAGAGAGGGTGTGCAGGCTCTGCACAGAAGGCACCCAAGTCCAAATTTAAACTGAGGACCCAAGAGCTGGGAGGCAACAGAACTAGCATGCCACTCTCCACTTAGGCAGTAAATAATAAAATAATATAGTCACACAAATTAGAAGTTGCTGTATTGCAGAAGAAGTAAGAAAATGATGCCTATTATCATCTGAGCAATGTTCAGCAAATACCTGCATTGGTTTTTTTTTCTGGTTTAAACCTGTCTGCTGGTGATTTGTGGACCAGCATGAACTCAGGCATCCATGGTAGTAAGTACAGTTACTTTACAGATATATCACAAGGCAGCTGCCCCAGTGTGTTAAATCCCAAAAGAATCTCTAAATGCTTTGCTGAGTCCTTTGTGCTAGGTGCTCAGGGTTGAACACAGTAAGGGTCCCTGGGGAAAGAGCACGCTTAAAGATGTTGGAGCCTTTCAACATCAGTGACCTGATTTCATTTTAGCTCAGATCCCAGCTGGTAGAACATCGTCTCAGCCACACTCTAGCTTTGAGAATCATCCCACTTAAAACATGAAAATCTCACCAAAAAAAAAAGAGTTTTCTTCTCCTGTCAATAAAGTGTATGCTCGTGTCACTAATGAGACAATGAAATAATCACTAATGAAATAATTAATCTTGAAGTCTCATCACATTTCTCTAAAACAAGTTGTGTACTGTGTGTGGCTCACGTTCATGTTAGGCTGATTTTAAACCAAAAAACAAATTCCCAGTATTGCTTTCTATGGAGCACATTTAAAAATGTGATTTCTTAAATGCTGCACAATACAATCCCTCCCTCCGAGCTGGTTTTGCCAAGCATGGCAGTTCTTATATTGCCTTCCCCTTGCGTCTCTAGGCGAGCCATTTAGGCCTGGGTGCTGTGAACTGGCTGCCCTGCCGTGCTCACAGACCCACTTCCATGTGCACTAATCTGTTAGGTCTCCCTGTTAAGACTGATATCAATCTTCTCTTTTACTTCCGCTGCTGTAAAACAATGCCTCCTGCATTAAATCTCATCATGGCAGTCTGCCAGAGGCCTCAAATGGACCTGGTGCATTAATTAAAAGCTCATTAATCGCAGCAGCGCTTGAAGAAAGGGAAGGCTGGAGGTGTCAAATACAACCCCCACCTTCCGCTTTCCCTCTCCCCCCTAATACACTCCAGTAGTAAGGGGGAAACAAAATTCCAAACCCTAGTTAAAGCCGGGCTTCTGTGCAGAGCACCTTAATATTATAGTCTGTGTAAGTGGACTGTAAACCACTACAGATCTTTGAAGTAGATAATCACAGTAAGTACCACCAAAACAATCTCAAATGCACATAGAGTTATATCTTAATCATGAATCAAACAAGAGAAAATGCTCACTTGCAGTCTTCTGGGGTTATTGTTCGTAAGTTGTTTAAACTTCCCCGAAGGAGCACTACTCTTGCTTAGAGTCTCACTATGTAATTCACCAAACCCACTCTTTTTAACACCAACACACACAGCTTTAATTTTTAAAGGAAAGCAGAATGCTCTACCGGCAACAGCGTGTTAAGAGCAGAGCTTGTTAAAAAAATATTTTGGCACCTCAGGATTCCTGCACAGCGTCCCTGTTTTGAAGCCACCCCCTCTGCATTTTTATTTTTAGCAACCCAAAGCTAAAAATTGAAAAATACAAAATCCTATCAGTAGCAATTTGGGAATTGTGGACAAAAGCACTGTGTGTTGGGGAGGGGGGGAGGGGTAGGGATACAAAACATGAGTGCCTGCATGAGTGTCAAGTTAAAATTACCTGATGAGGATTATGGCAAGTTTAGCACCTCTGACCTTACAGTATCAGTACATGTTCTTAAATGCAGTGTTGTGAATAGAGTGTGACCTACAGAGTGAGTATTTGGGAGAATGCTTGGCTCTCTAAGAAAGCCTAGTACGTTCTGTGTTGGCCTCTAGGATCCTCCCTGTCTTGGTTGCTTGTCTTGGTTTTAAAAACACGTTGAGTCAAACCTACATATGCAACAAGCTACCCAGCAATATCCTTGAAGCCACTTTCCAGAGATTATCTAACTACCATGTATGTACAGTATGGGCCAAATGGCCTCCTCAGGTTTGTAACCTTTCTAATGTTCTTTGACCTGTATTCAAATGCTGTTTAACGCTGCTGTGTCATTGGCAGGGGGGTTACGCAGCGTACAGATATGCCCAGCCCGCCGCCGCAGCTGCAGCTGCTTACAGCGACAGGTAAGGTGCTTCACCACAGTGCCCCCCTCAGCCTGGGAGTGGCATTGCCATTTTACCTGCAAGAAGGAGCTCAGATTTAGTGGCCTGTCCAGTTTCCAATGTTTTGTTGATACGGTGAATGAATCTGGAATATCTTGAATTAGCTGAATAATAGGTTGCCAATTAAACTATACTTGAATAGTTTAAATAGGTTTAATTTGATTTTCTTCCTTTCAACAACCAAGAGGTATGTGCCCTTCTGTATCACGACCGAAAACTAAAGCCATTGTGCACGGGTAGGTTACAATATACCCTTCCTTATGCATACGTGAGTTTAGACATACTTCCGCTTGCTGTTTTAGTTAGTTATAGAAGGAGTTTGGATACACGAGGATTGAAGCGCCTCCAGTCGCAGTTCTTCAGCGGGACGTCTTTTTGCCTGTTGCGTCGTGTCCTTCAGCCCCTGGGGTTTAGGTTGTGGTGTTTGGGGAGCTGTCAGTGATTTATCCAGACCTTCTAGGGCCCTGTCAGGTTGGATCAGGGCAGCTGGGAATCTAATCTTGGAGAGATTGAGCGTGTCACTTGTGATAACATACGCCCTGCCTGGAAGCCTGAAGACCCTAGATAATGTAAGATTTATCAGAACTCCCGGCAGCTCAAATTATGAGCAGGGAGATCGGTGAGCGCAGAAATTGGACAGCTGCATTATCCTGCTGGAGTTATTTCATTCTTGCTTTTCTTTCTTTCTCTGGATGCTTTAAAGTAATTATATTCTATTTTTTTATTTGGAATAAGAGGACCTATTTTCCTGTCTATTGGATTAACATGGATTTGAAAAGATGTTGCCTGGCATTTTAACTGTCTGCTTTGTGCTTGGCAATATGGAGTTTGAAGTGTTTCCCAAGTAAAGGTTTTCAGCTCAGCATTGTCTGTTAAAAGAAACAGAACGGTGTAACTTCTGAATATTGAAACCGCTCTCTGCCTTTTCAAGCAGGGGTCTCTTAAAGACAAAATTTGAAAAAGTCATAGCTGCCTAACCTCAATTTGATATTTCGGATTATGGAAGAATGTGCACATGCATTCCTGAGAAATTCTCAGTGGATGTAGTCCAGTCTTTAAAGGTCCCAGGGTCTCATGGTTTGTGTTCCACTTTCTTTAAACAAACTCTCGTTTATTTTAATTAATTATTTTCTGCAGTAGTCTGTCTGAGGAGATTTAGAGGAATTACACCAGGGCATGATCTGTGGCACAGCACTATCATTTTTGTTATTTCCACAGTTAATTTAGCAGATTATTCTGAGTTGGTGCACTCCTTCCAATTGGTTAAAAGCTATCCTACCGTCTGCAAAATGGCCGCATTGCTGGGATAATGAGGATTTTGGTTGACTGCAAGATAAGATGGCAACAAGTTAGACATGACAACATTCACATGATGGATGCTGGGAAGCAGCTGGACACTGTGGAGGAGACAGAGAAGGGAATATCATACCCATGGCTGTAGTCTCTATATCAGTGATAACAGTTATTGAGCATTATGTGTGGACCTCTGTCAGGTGTAGTCTTATATTTCGTTCCACCTTGGGATTCCCCTGCAGCTTTTTTGACCAAAAAAAACGCATCTCCAACCAGAAAATACGTCTCCGTTTTCCAATTTCACGGAACAGGTCTAACCTTTGATGTTTTAATCCGAGATGACAAAACACAGTTAAATCTGATATTATGTATGTATATAATAACCATGTGTAGGTCTGGTTCTTCCGCTTTCAAAATAATCCCCCTCCCTTTTTTTTTTCCCTTTCCTTGCTATTGCTGATTTTGTGCCCTCAGTCCTTAGTGAGGAGAACCTTATCTGTTCCCTACAGACCCTCATTTGCAAAGCATTCGTTTGAAAAAAAAAAAGTGAAGTAAAAGTAAATAAATAAGACACATCTTGTCCCGCCTTAGAAGGAAATTGGAAGGATTAGTTCCGAACCGCCAACAATGAAAAGATTCGTAGTCTCCCCACATTGCTCGGAGAGTAAACAAGAAAAGAGAGACACAGGCAGGCACGGAGAGCTGTGGAGAGGACCACACACAGGAACCCTTTCTGCTTTGTGGAACAGCAGCCAAGGACAGTCTGACTGGCCCACTCAATTACCATGCCAAATACTCCTCAGGTAGATTTAGTGCCCTTGTCAGGCACAAAAGTTCCCACTATGGAAAAAAAAATCCAATATACGCTTATACAGCACGATATCACCGTAAAATACGGGCTGTGGTCACCTGCTATGCAGTTTAACCGTGCTGAATATAATTAATTTCAAGTGCAAAGAAAGCCTTTGGGAAGAAAAAGTGATGATGGGAGTTGAAAGCAGTTACTTATGAGTAACGGTAATTCCTCTGAAGAAATCAAATGGTACTTGTCTGAACTCAAGTCTGACTGTGGTAACACTGACTTTGGGTTTGCACCCAAAACATTGTTTGTCACTGTGTATAGTTTATTTAGAACGGGGTTGTGACGTATACGCCGAGAATAATAAAGCAAGCGTTTGTGTGGCTATTATTTTGCAAATTCTTTGATGGTATAAGGCTCATCTTTATTTCAATTTATTTGATCGTAATCTACACATAAACTGATTTTTTAATTATCTGAGGACCAGTTGTTGTGTTTTCGGTGCTTTAATTACCTTCATTTCTGTTAACTACTGTACTGTATATTACAATTACTGACTTTAGTTGCCTTTGCTTATGTGGATTGAGAGAGAGAATGGTGTTGTATTACATTGTATTACAGCAGATTCTGAAATAATCTCTATCCATCAGAAAACAAATTTTTTTTTTTTAATTTTTCTGAAACAATATGATCATAGAGGGTCTGTCAAACTCCTATTGAAACTCCTGTCTGAATTGTCTTCACTGTAGTTACGGCAGAGTCTATGCAACCGCAGACCCGTATCACCACACAATTGGTCCTGCCGCCACGTACAGTGTTGGTACTATGGTAAGTTCATATTTCCCTCTTCAAAGCTTCTGAAATTCATATTTATTTAGAGTAGAGAAATCACACCTTAAAACATTTGTAGATGTACGTTATCTTTCAATAAAGAGGTGCAAAAGAAAAAAGCTGGTCCGGTGAGTGAAAAACAGAAATCTATATAATGTTCTTTAGCACAACCTACTGGAATAAAGCAGAATTTTAGGTAGATTTTGAAGGGATTTTTTTAACGTGCTCGATTAACATCATGTGTGTAGATTTACATTTATACGGAGATTCTTCACAAGAATGCTGTTATTTAATTTAAAAAAGTGAAGGCTGAAACAGCACCTAGGATGAATGTGAATAAAGTATAAATTGTTGTTTCTTTATTGCAATTTCATCAAGGATGGTGAAATAATGCAGGGTGTTTTCCTACATGTTTGATCACCGGTTAATTCCAGGTAGCATGTGCTTCTGAGATCTTGCCACGTTAGTAAATGAAAAGGGATGTTGCATCTCTCTGGTGAATGTCATGAAATAAAGGGAAAGCATCCCATTGATTTCATTTATATTTTTTTGCATAAATGACATCAATGTAAGTTTTAAGTTTTTTTTTTAGCACTTGTGAATTTTGCAGGGATGCAGTCAAACTGTTAATGTTTGTTTTTAGCTAGCTTTTGCAGCTAACATCAAAGATGAAAAAAGCACAAAAAAAACACACAAAAAAAAAACAAATACAGAAACCCAGTACGATTTGTTTTCTTTTCCGGGTGGGGGGTGGGGGCTGAGGATTTTTTTTTGGAAAGATTAATGACCATCAAGCGCGTGCAGCGGCGTGCCGTGGGAGATTACAGCGAGAGAACAAACGAGAGAGAGAAAGAGAGAAAAAATGATTCCACCGCACCCAACTCCCCTACCCACGAGGTTTATCGGACGAGCGCTCTGCTTTAGACAAATGACTCGAATTTACCAAGCCGACATGCGTGTGATTTTTAAAACCGTACAATTCCCCGGTGCAGCTGCTAGCTAAAAGCTTTCATTAATTAAGACAATTTTTTTCCTCTTCATTTACTTAATTAAAAATGTGGCCTGTGTTGCTGAAGTTTTTATTCTTTCCTTTTTTTTTCAAATTTTCTTCCTTTTGTTTCTTCTGCAATTTCCCCCCTCTTTGCCATACAAAAAGACTTCTCCTGCACCCTTTAAAAAGATGCAGGTTTGCTTTGGGTGGGAGGGGGGATGCGTGGGCTAATGAGAAAAGCGAATTGGTAGTGAATAAGCAATGCTTCTGCAGAAATGCATGGCGCACAAACACTGTGAAGTAGATTTAAAAGTGCTCGCCTGAAAACCTAGGAGAACTGGTTTGGTTGTAATTCTTTAATCATATTTGATTAATAGTTCCTAAGGAAAGACGAATGCTTTTTGCACCAGAAAGCCGTCCAATAATGAGTTCCTTAGAGGTTGCACAAAATTCTCTTTGCACATTTCCAGCGCACTGAAATTGCAAATTTATGCCACGTTTATGAAGATTTTGCATGAGTAAGAGGGATCCCTAAAATTAGGAGAATTTAGCCTTTGAAGATTTTGACTTTAGCCTTCGGAGGCAGGCCAAACTGCAGCGCAGTTTAAAGAGAGCACATTATAGATTTGTTCACTCTGTTTTACCAAAGCCTAGCAGGGATTAGAAAGAAGCCCTTCCCACTAGTGCACAATACAGCCTTTTAGACTAGGAGACTTACATTTGACAGGAGATGCACATTAAGAAAGTTTTTTAACACACTTCAGGTGCACAGTACATATCTGTAACAATACCAATTTAAATTGGTACTGTATGTAATCAGTATTCCTTAATTTTACTCATGACATAAAAATAGACGTATTTACAAATAAATATAGCTCCTTATTTGCCATTGTAGCTAAAAAAATCTGAATCATATCAATTGCAATGTACAATCCAATAGATTAAACCCGAATTTTATTTTAAGGATTATGATGTTTGACGACATTTCACTACCAAGTCGCTCCTCATTCAGGATTACGTTAAAGAATCACAGCCAAAACAAATATGTGCCTACACCTTTCTAAATGTGCATTACAGCCCACTACATGCTTTTCATTTACAAGAACAATATTGTCCAGGATGAAAATTACAAAGGGAAGAAAAGTTTTGGAAAAAAAGAGCCAACAGCCGGTTTTTCTTCTTAATACTGATTGGAACTTTTTTTCATCTTTGATGTTGCAGGCTAGCCTATACAGAGGAGGGTACAGTCGCTTCACTCCCTACTAAAGAAAGAGAAACATTACCCCAACTGAATGGTTAAAAACAAACAAAAAAACAAAAACAAAACAGACACCTCCTTCTTCGTGGAAAACTAAAACAACAAAACAAAAAAGCTTCCAGGTCACACTGATGGCCTCCTCCCCTCCATGGCCCCCCATCCCCCCTGTCAATTTATTCGAAGATTCTTGCAACTTTTTCTTAATACTTTGCTTCATTTTTATTTCTGTCAAATGTATTTCTGGCTCTTGTCCGTCTGTGTGCTGAAAGGTAGCTCCCTTTTGGAGAGGGTCCTTCGGAAGCATTTCTGAAGGGAGGGAAGGGAATGGGAGGTCGTGGGGGGGAGGCGGGAGTCTTAAAATGAGCATGCTCAGAAAGGTGCAAGGGATGGGCTGCCTCGATCAGGGCGACTCTTCAAAAGATCCTGTTGTGTGATCGAGGTTCAGTCTTCAGGGGACTGTTTCAGTGTTACTTTCCTGACCTCATTCAAGATTCTCGTTGCTGGATTCTGAAAAGCTCTCCTTTGTTCAGCTGGCTTTTGTTGGTTCTGTTTCTCTCGTATTAAAAGTGGTTCGGGAAGAGTAAAGAGATAAAGGAGTTTGAGACTGTTGATGCCAAGGAAGACATTCTATAGTGAATACTATATTTATAGTTCACCTACAGTAGGGTCGACATAAATATGAAAATAGAGTGCCAAGAAACAGGGTTATATCCTACGAAGGGATTGGACTCTTGACTAATGTGGCGATGCACAGCAGTAAACAGTTATTAGTACCCGAAATAAGAAAAGGCAGCTGGTCACATGCTACCACTAAGCTTGTGTGGAAGAAAGAATACATTACAAGAGTGAACCAAGCTTCAGGGAGATTATAATAATAATACTAATGGCAAAGGCAAGTGGTTAATGCTGAGATTAGTCTTCATTACCACAGCTTCCAGGGCTAAGCATGAGCTTTGACTCCCCGCTGTGAGAAAGATCTCAGAACGTTACCAGATCTGTGTTATTAAATTACTGTTTTGGCGACTAGATGCATTAGCTGGTGCTGTGATGAGTGAAAGAACTGGAACAGTAGAAAAGTGCCTGTTCAACATCTGTGATTGCACTGCAGGGTGAGTGCAGTTCACCTGTACCACCTCTCTGGGCCTGCTCATTGTCATCACCACACGTGGAGTAAGGCCACGAAAACGTGGGCAACTATGGCTCTTTCAGTTCATTTGGTTTATAGAATTGCTCCTCTCAAAGTTGTTAACTCTGTAGTTAATCTTCATAAGGCCTAACTCTGTTACAAAGGATATGGTAAAAAAAGGTTGCCTGATGAAATGAAGTGGGAAAGCCATAGTTCTCTAGCCAGGGAATAGAGTGATGTTTAACTTGAACACAGGGATCTATAGTGCTACTGATGTAATAGTACCAATAACAGAGAGCTTGTAAAAATAGAGTGTTCCTTTACCACTGCTGGTTATAAGGCTGTGATACCTATATCAATCCCTGCTGCTCTGGTCTGTGTGCTGCCACAAAAAGATCCCTTTCAGTCAAATTGAAGTTACAATGCTGCACGGGTTTGCTACCCATTAAGTAAATATATGCACGTTTAATGGCCTGACTACTGCAAATCCTGATAACTTCTGCTTTTCCAAATTAGCTCCATGATTCACTTGAGAAGAAAAATCCTGGAAGTTACCACCTTGGGCAAAAAAAAAAATCAAATTAAACTTTAAATTTGCTATAACCATTACAAAGGCCCCAGCATTGCATAGAAAAGAAGAACAAGGAACAGTTCTGTCACTGGAATGTATTGATTTTTGTTTACAGGCTACATCTATTGTGAGAAACAACACGGGGAATTCTATCTAACACGTTTTAGCTGAACAATACCATACCTGATGTGAGGAGTGAGCACACACAAGAAAATTCTGACACACAGGAAAAATCAGCCGTTAAGAAATTCTAGAAGTCTTTTTCATTCTATGGCTTGAAAGATCCTTTGGAGTGTTTCTTCATGACAGAAAAAGTGAGATTGGCTTATTTCCTGTGCCTAATATTCCCGGGAGGTATCCTTACACCTGGCACCTGGTTTTCAGTGTGCAGTGTACTGAGAAACAATGATAGTGCATTTCCTTTAGTTAATATAACACACCCACGTCTCGGGACTGAGGAGACAATGGAGTAATAAGCCGATAAACTTCTGAGGTGCTCAAATACTGAACGCTAAAGACGTTGATCATATACCCTCCAAGAGGAGGGAACACAAGTGAGTCACAGACGCTTACAAGGCACACGATAAATAGCAGCCCTCTCCAAATGGCATTGTAAGGAGGAGTTATGGGGGAGAAAAAGAGACTCTGCAGGAAACTAGCATCCAAGGCAATTTACTTCACAGATTAGAGATAACACCATTGAGTCAATAACCACTGATCTCATTTGAAGATACACTAGACTAACTCCGCTTAGTACAGCCAGCTCAGTCTATTACCATACTTGCTACGGCTGTTGTACCAGACGTTATATTCTCCCCTTGATTCTCAGATGTGAAGGTAGCAATTGGGATATATGAATTTGATTGGGTTTTTTTTTTACAAAAAAATAGTTTTTTTTTTCTGTTCGTTTTCCGTGGGGAAGGAAAATGTAACACGAGGATTAAATCTTGTATGTCTTTTCATTTCAATTACTTTAGACTGTAATTCTCTGATTGTGTAACTGTGGCCTAGCAATTAATATTGTTTATGAGGGCATGTGTGACGCAAAGAAAAACAGATTTACCACCTCTGAGTACCCAAAGAAGCCAGGCAGAGGGGATACAAATAGTGCTTGTGCAAATATAGTGAACCCTATTCCATGAGGCTCATTATTTTCTGTTCAAGGTACCTCCACAGAAACAAATGTGCTGAACTCTTGTGACATACCCCCAGCCCCTTGTATATTCAACAACTGTAATACCTTGTACAGTTTTCTATGCAGATTACAAGCATTATTTAGTGTGTTTTAAAAATGTACGCAAGATGGAAAAAGGACACAGTAAAGTCAAACATGATAACCAAGATTCCAAATTCTAGGTGCTTCCAAATAGACTCCAAAATTCCTCACGGAAACCCAAACTGGAGTTGGTTAGCAACATGGCCAGGCATGGGATCAGTCACCTCCACATTTTAGGGCCTGTTTAGTGGAGGCTTGTGTTCCCAAGAAACAGTTAGGAACCCCATTATTGTTTACTCCTCAATGATTCTCTCAGTGCAGTACACAATATCACACCAAACTAAAATGCACACATACACTCAGCCAAATCATTTCAGGATCCAAGCCAGGAAACACAATTTTCTGGAAGCCAGGTTGGATCAATTCAGTAGCTCCTGGGAGCAATTTCAGGTTATTTACCTTTTTCCCAGTTCTCTTCAAGCCATCACATCAGTTCCCTGGAGCGGATCATTTGCACCAGTGCTGCATTGTGAAAAGGAGCTGAGTCTTCTTTACTGTAGAGAATTGCTACAGAACTCTCTCCTGCTCTCCGACAGAATAGTCCTCGATTCTAAGTAAAATGTATTCAGAAAGAGTTTTACTGATAAAAATGGAAAATCATACAGTATGCACATTAAGACTTTTACTTATGCAGTTTCTTGACCAAGCAAATCAGACCAAAGATTTACACTGAGACGCAATAGTTGGATTGGAATCAGTATGTTCAACATGTACAAGCCAGCCTTTCAAACATAAGTTTTTTTCTTATGCTCAGTACCAAAAGCTTTCTTCAACAATGGTTCAGCTGTACTGACAGAACACAGCTACAGCCTCTGTGACTTTTAACTGGAAAATAAATGGTTTCAAGAACGATTAGAAAGAGATTAGCCTCAGTATAAATTTCTGAATGAATCTGATCAAAATCCAAACTTTACCAGTTACGGTTTGTCAAGTGAGATAAACAAAAAATAGAACTTGTAATAAGACCCTGTAAAGTGTATGCTCAGTTATCATTATCATTAATATCATAATACTATATATTCATACTACATATTCCCTGCATGCTTTTGTGTGTCTCTGCCCTGCGATGGACTTATGTCCTGTCCAGAGTGTAGTCCCATCTTGCCCCTTGTGCTTCCAGGTTGCCACAGTTCATACCAGAAATAAGCAGTTCTCTGGTAATGGATCAATAGATTGAAAATTGTCAGCTTGAAATATTATGCTGTCTCTAACTTCTGCAGGGCCATGAATTTATTTCACATTTTTAAATGTTGTTTTAAATCCTTATTTTTGTTTCTGTGGTTGCTCTGGATGCTTTGAAAGCAATATTGTTTCTTGCAGTGTTTTATAGAAATGCACTTTCTCTTTTGATTTCTGATATTGCCAAGCACCATTTTTGCAAATATTTAAAAACAGAAGTAAAACAATCAAGTCTGGAACAATAGCGGAACATATTTAAAGAAGAAGGAAAAATTAGTTGACATGGACATCCTTTAAAACCAGCTATATGTGGTAATGGAACACAAAAATACTGACATAAAATATATTTGTCAATAATTGTAAATAACATTTAAAATGTCTTTTAAGGATTTTTGTTACCACAGTTCTGTCATGCTAAATTTATTTTTTTTATCTTGGTTTTTGAACATTTCCAAAGTGTTTTGATTTATAGAGCTAACTAAATGCATACCAGTACTTGTGTATTATAGTATAAGGTGTTGAAAAACAGTATTTATTAGTATATTAAAATTGTTATAGTATATTAATTAGATTTAAATGAAAAGTAGAACACTGAACTAGAAAATAAAATGTTCTTCCTTTTATATATGCTATTAAGGGATACACCATGGGACATTTTTATATAATTCAGGAAAAAATGCTTTAAACAACATTATTTATACCTTTTTGGAAGAGGAGAGATAGCTGATGTCTTTATAGATGTTTCTGATTACATGACTCTGTGAAGTGTGTGTTGTTGAGCTATATTATTGTATGTATTCACTGTGGCAAAATTACTAATAGGAATTAAAGCTGCTCTCTGAAAGTGAAAGGGGTTTATTTGGTTTTCAGTCAATAGTGATGGACACAATTTTAAATGACTTCCCTTGTCCTTTCTTTTGTATGGATTTGGGATTGACATGCATCAACTTCCTCCATTATGGAATAGGCAAACAACATAGGTTTCTTCTTAAAACATAAATAAAAAATGAGATTATTTCATTTTGCTTTAAACACTAGAATCGAACTTTCCTTTTTATATATACAAATTTTCATTTTAGCTCTAATTAAATGAAGTCCCTTGGCTTAAAATCTGAAGGGCTTTAAACAATTTATACCCTTAAACTCCCGAGCAGGGGTGCCCAGCCCTGGTCCTGAGAGACATCTGTGGCTTCAGGTCTTTGCCCTTTCTGATCTCTTAATTGCTGGCTGATTGATTTCAGTTTTGTCTGGGACATATTTCTGAATTTGCTTTCAGTTCTTGAGATGTTGGATGGAACTGGTAGGAGACGTCAACTTTGGACCAGTTTTTAAATTTCTGAACTAAAATGTAAAGAAATGTGAAGAAAAAAAGAAACGTTCATTGTGGGCCTCTGTTCATCCCAAGACCAGGGCCAGGGCACACATCTCTAGAGTAGAACATGTACTATGCATTGATATACAGTAGGTACAGTTAATACAATCACTTTCCCCTATGAAAACTCTGCCAAATGTCAATGTTTCTTTATTCATTGATTTACCCCCATCGTTACCTATCAGACCATGTCAACTCCAGCACAAAATTAAACTACCAAACCATTTTGTTTCTGACCCTGTGTGTATTATTTCCCATCACTCGCTGGGCCCTTCTTTCAGCATTATAAGGTTGTCAGAAAGAGCCACTCCACTTTTCTTTGTTTTTAATTCCACTTTGTTGTACCTACCTTGACAAGAAAGATTTTAATTGCATGAATAAACCTTTGTAAAAGAATACAGGGAGAGTGGAAGCATCTAAATTAATTCCTACAGCTTGCCAATTGATGTGATGAAATCCCTTTTCTTGCATGGATGCTGCAGTGAAGCCATTAAATGATTGCCAGTTTAATTGGCTCCGTTAATGCAGTCATTTGTAAGATGGCACCATGGGCTAGTGTCCAGTACAAAATGGCAGTACGGCAAGATTTCTTTCCCCACATTAGTCTTTTTATAGTTTATCCCATTTTTGCTGGATGGGCTTCAGTGTCGCTAATCAAAAGCAGCTTCTGGCGTGACAACCTGGAGTAGTTCTCAAATGTTCATCAACATGTCATGTATTTCTATTTTAGTAAGGACTTGAACAGCTGTGTGTGTTTTTTTTTTTTACAAAATTCCAAACAAAACGACCCAGAAATGTCGTTTTATCACCAGCTTTGCGCATTAAACAGACTCTCGTTTCCGCCAACTGAATGAGAAATAGAACCCTGAATAAAGAAATGAGCTACAGCTGAAAATGGTTTTGAGACCAAAGGTAATGCAGTGCCAATCACATAAAGAGGATGAAGGCGCAACACTGGCCTTTTACTTTAGACTGTGATTGTAAAATATTGTAAATTAAAATGATGAGAAGATGGTTTCAATTAGTTATTTTAACCCATTTGACACGACAGAAAAGTTCCTTGTGTAGAACCTTCTGGGCTTTGCATTACATCAGTCTGCGATAGATGAGCTTTGAATAGCTGCTACGGAACTCCAAAATGGTGCTCTATTCTTCCACTGTAGGCAGCTGAAATACAATGCGGACATCGGTGTCGCAAATTGGCGACCAGTGCGAAGAAATCAAGCCAAGACAGAATGTCCTCTTACCACACTGCTGGTGTCCAGAAGATAAGATGCCATACAATTTTTTACTGCCTTGTACTCTAAAAGGATAACACAGAAATGAGTATTGCCCATTGCCCAACAGCCTTGCGCTGCTCAAAAGCTGTGGGGTGGTGTATTTCTATAGCAAACATGTAAGTGTGCTGAGTGGGCCTGAATTCTTGTATGGCATCTGGTCTTTGAACTAACATTAGAACAAGGCAGCTGTAAAAACCAGGTGTGTGTGAAGGACAGATTCCAATCCTGTTTTCACTTAGCCTTTCTTCCATAAAGGACACACATCAGCACCACACAGACCGTGGGGTGTAAGCTACAGAACAGCGTGCTGTGAAGAGTAAAATGGATCAGTTATCAGAGCCGATAAATTTCTCAGTTGTTGGTAAAATGCCTTTACCAGCCTATGGAAGGAAGCAATCCACAGTATTGCTGCAGCTGAGATTGAACCTGTTGAATCAGTGATGTCTATCTTTATTCTCATAGACTTGGGATTCGTGGGCAAGTGTCTATTGAAGATGCTATATAAAAGGGTTGATGAAGAGAAGGAATCAGTAAGCCTTGTATTTTGGTGCATTCATTCTATTGGCCTTCATCAGGGTTTTTTTTAATGAAGTCATTTAAAATTGCGTATTTTCAAACTCTTCCTTTTTAGTCTGTTCAAATGTTGTTTTTATTCTGTCAAGAGATTTGTAGAAAAACAAAACAAAGCAAAAAAATCTAGATATAATTACATGTACACTGTTGGCAATTACCACTCTGTCATTGAATCCTTTTTCTTTTATATATCTATTGCTCTATCCTGTGGTCTTTTTTTGTGTATTGCTATACTGTTTTCATGTTAATGATCATACTGTATTCAATGTATTGTACCTTTGGTACTTTGAGTTTTTATGAACCTACTGAATGTAAAACAAGGATGTGTGGAACTGAATTCAAAATGAAGAAAAAATTATTTTACTCTGTTCTGCTTACATTTTCTAATATATTGTTTTCATTTTATGTCACATATTTCAGTAAAAAAACTGATGGCTTTGATTGCCTAACAAAATTAAGAATGATCACATTTAAATGTTTACCATTACACTTCAATATATTTATTGAAAATAATTATCTGTTGCATCATGTTTTGTTTGTTCTTTCAAGGGACTTTGCTTCCAGTTTCACTTAGAGGCTTCTCACTGCAGGGAAAATAAAATGATGAGAGACTATTCAGGTTTCTTAATGATTGTTGGCATCCCCTAATTATTTCAGTCACCAGATTTTTTGTTGCATTGACCAGCATTTCCTTTGTGATTAAACTACAGTTCCCTTGTAATTGTAACTAAAATGAAACACATGGTGAAAAATGGAATCCTATATTCTGATCCTGTCAGTACAGATATTTACTGCTGCTTTTAATAAGTTGATCTCAATAACTCCATTACAAATCAGGGACAGATGTTTGCTTACGGTAACTGTGAATATACTGTATATCAGCTGGCACAGTAGTGGAGTTTCTATTCACTTTAGAAATGAAGAGAGCTACAGTATGCAGGACAAGCTGTGACAGCATCAAAAGATGAGCAGAAACGCAACACAGGTTTTCTCAAACCATTAACTTCCCCTTTCACTCTTCCCCCAGAGTGATTAATATGCTTGACATTGCCGATCTTGCAAATTCTTGTCCACCATCATATTTTGTTAGAAAGAAGGAAGTCTAATATTGTGTTACTTTTAACAAGGTCCTTGTACCGGTGTTGGGCTGTTCTGTGTTTGTCAAGCAGATCTTCAGGAAAAAAAACCCTTGTGAATCCTGATAACAGGCTTTGCGTAGCAGACTGAGCTGCATTATTGAGTGTGATTAGTATTCCGCAGCACATCTGTTTATTTCTCCAGGGTGGTGTGAGAAACTACAAAGTGATGTTAAAATTAAAGTCTGGCTTTATTTTCTTCTGAAGAGCTATACAGTGCTGAATATCTCTCTGAATTAGGGAGTCTCTAATACCACATAGGCCCCAAGACAATTTAAAAAAAAAAACTAAAATCTGAGTACATTTAGGTACCTTCCACAGCTTCTTGATTCCAGTAGGTTGTCATTAAAAAAGAATCTGCAAGCATCCAGCTGAAGATGTATCACTATGTTGGTTCAATTCTAATCTCAGTCTCAGGGCTTGTGCAAGGAAGTCCCTTTTATAGGCAAGAACTCATGTTCTGTAATAAATCTTTTTTTTCTTATCAGAAAAAAGAACATCTTTTAACAAGCCCAAAGCAACTCATTACCCTCCTTCAAGAGTCCATTTCACTCCATTTCTAAGCCATTGATTTGCTTTACCCTTGTTGCAACATAGAGATTGATTTCTGTTATTAATTACTTGAACTCTCCACCATATTTGAATGACCACCTGCTGGTTAACCAGAAAGAATGTTAGGTTTGACTTTTTTTTTCCTTTTATGAAAAATTTAACAACAAATGGAAAGGGGGCACTGTCCATATCATAAAACCAAATAAAACACTTTCACTTTTTTAAAACTAATTCAGATAGGTTACTCTTTGCAACCTTCTAAGACTTTCTTAACACTCTTACAAATGATTTGGCTATACAAACAATGCTATGTACTTTCTTTCCCCCACTGAAGCAGTCAAGATTGCTTTCTTTCTACACAATATATGTTGCTGGTTAGAACTATATACTTTGTATATAGTTTGCACTTAAAATAAGAAAAGCTGTGCCTATGTGAAAAACAAGGAGGCTATACAAGGTTTTATGTAAGCAGACTAATATTCTTTGATTAAAAAAAAATCACCATGGCATAATGTTTCATTTTGAATGCTGTTCACTCAGAACCCTGAAATGCACTGCAGTCATTTGGATCAGAAAAAGCCACTTCAGGTCCTATCTATGCACAGTCTCCCAGAATGCAAACCTCTATGTCCCTTGAATGAACATATTCAAAATCACTAACACTTTTCATGGAATAAGTTTTGAAAAACAGTAACCAATCCTTTATTAATACTTAATTATTAATGAATAAATACAGTAGCATATCAACTGTTAATATAGTACTTACAAACACCTATGAACGTTAGCATTATTGACAAGTTGACAGGTGGACAACCTAACAAAACACAACCTATAAAATGTTTTCATTTTTTGAGTCAATATATTAAAAAATGATCAGACAACACAGCTGAGTGATGGCCAAATGTGCACTATATAAGGCACCTGTTCCAATTTTTTATATTACAACACAAATTATATGAAGTCTACAGATGTAAATGTTAATAACTGGATTTCTAAAAAGTCTATAAATGGTTAATATACTATGAATTCATTAGCTATTAAGGATTAATAAAGGGTTTATTACTAAACTGTATTATAAATGTTACAGAGTATGCAAATTGTAACCAGAACTCTTTATTTATAAACTTATGCCTATTTTTTTCTATTTTTAGTAAAAAAAAAGAATAATGTAATGAGCAACGGCGGACATCACCGAAAAGGGCGGAATTGAGAACGAACAACTAAAAAAAACAACAAAAAAACGACAACCATGAAAAAAAAACAAACAAAAAAAAAAAGCAAAAGGAATCCTTCTATCAAGGCTGACCAGCGGTCAGAGGGGAAAGCGCAGGGTGACGTCCAGGCGGAGAAACGTCAACCCAGCTCAAGTGGGGCAGGTATGGAGTTGGTTCGCTTTCACGAGGGACAGCCTTGCAGGGAGGACGGCGACAGCGGTAGAGAACAGAGAGGGAAAAAAAAAAGCGGTCGGTCGTCATAAAAACATTTTATTTTTCTAAACTTTTTTAAGTTGAAGGATTTGAGAAAAGTATATATGTAAAAAAAAAACCTTGAAAAAAAAGAACAACAAAAAAACGGACAGTCGAGACTTGGGGGAGGGGGGGTTTGGGTGTTGTGTCAAGGACTGAAATGGAAGGGGGAGCGCATAGCCTCTCCTGGTGTGAGGATGGTGGGGAGCAGGGGGTGTCCCGTCTATGTTTGCACCTATTTAATCATGCAATCCGAAGGCCCTCTTTCAGGACGGGGTATCTCAGGGCCTCTGACGAGTCATATCAGGGATTAGAGCACAAAGAGAAACTGGAGCAAGTGGAGCTGTGGAGCAGTGTAGGGTCTTATTGGAAACTGCTGCTCATCTCAGTGATTGCTGCCCAAGTGGCAGCATGGAGCCCAGGGCCTACTGACAACTGACCACTAGAAATACTCCACCTCAAGAAAGGTGCTGTCAACAAGACACTGTCCCTTGACTTTAGATGAGGGAGACAGCCTGACCACCAGAGGCAGATTCTCCTAGAACTTGCAGAAAAAAGAAAAAAAAATAATAGTGAGCAGTACTGCCAACAAAGCTGCGTTTGCCAATGGCTGGCTTTTCAAAAACTTGTTTTTTTGGGGACTAGCTCTTTTTTAGCAGCAAATGTGTGGCCCCAATCCCCATTTGCACTGCTCGGATGTCTGTGATATTAGTAATGGCAAACATGGGCTTCCCACTAGACATGGAGCAGAAACAGTGTTGTACAGGTTCTGTAGTCCTTCCAGCTCCAACAACAGAAAAGCTTGAAGCTGTGAGGCTCCTACCTATTTGACCATAGTGTTTATGTTTGACTCAACTGAAATATTTAAAACATTTTTAAAAAAATCAGTACTGTATCAATAAATATTGATCAAGACATATTCATTTGCTGTGATTGTTAAAGCCTTAGGATGCATTAAAAAGTCCAAATAATTGTACATTTGTGTTTGCCACTTACTTCTGCTAGACATTGTATTAACTGCAGTATTTTGATATACAATGACTTTCAGATCTAGGGAACCACTCCCTACCCATCTTTTATATCATTAGTGATATAATGTTAAGATTACAAGCAAAAAGCTTCTGAAGCACTTAGTGTTGATGTCTAACACAATCCTTCTAATGTCAGTCCTGAGGAGATCTCAATTGCTCCAGGGCTTAGCTATGACAGACATCTGTACTAGACAGAAATGCATAGTGACTTACAGTTATATGTTATGTAAGGTTATAGCTCCACAGAAAAAGAAATAGTTTCACAAAACACCCTACTTTTCAGTCAGCATTTGTATTCAGTTCTCCTGTCATCTCACCTGTATTGGATGGTTAGAACTGTGATTACAGTGATTTTGCTACCAACTGAGAAATAATTACTGTAACTGATAATATTGAAAGACCCAGACAGTCCCGAGCAGACTGTGGACCAGCTTTGAAATTAAAACCGAAAACGTCCTGTTTCCACATGGAAGCACTCTATCTGCAAGAAAGCTTCTGTAATAACATATTGAGACTGGTAAACATGGATTTCAGTGAAATAGCCCCTTTTATATTTCCTTTAAGATTTTACTTAGCTGCAACACAACTGTATATTACAGCTCAGAGTAAGTGTCTAACATTCAGACAGCACCTGGATTTTCGTAAAAGAACTTTATCATGTTCACATTTTTCAGTTTAAATCTTCTCTGTTGTCAACTAAATTCCAACACATTCAACAGACAGCTATTTGAAAACACATTTTTGTCGTTTTTTGTTTGTTTGTATGTATGTGACCTAAGTAACAAACTCTCCAGGCAGACCATGCAGAGTACACTGTTGTGAATTAATTTGTTAATTTATTTAGAAAGAAAAAATCTGTTGTTTACCACTCAGCTCACAGTTTCTGGAGACATTTATGGTGATTGATAATATAGAATTTCCTCAGGCATAGTTGTCCAAAAACAAATGGTATGCAAACTTTATTTATTTATCCATCCTTTTTTTGGTAGCTGTAAAGTGTAATACACCATAACAAATTATAAGCAGGCTACAATTTAAGAGAATTGATGTCGTCTGCTTGTCTCTTTGGGATTTTCACTGAAGTTCAGTCATTCATCTTCCTCTTTTGCCCAGTACAGCAAGAAATGAAATGTGGTATAAGACAGGCACCACTTTAATTAAGGGTTTGCGAACAAAGTCTCATTAGAGTGTGATACCTTTTCAATAAATTTTGCTTCTCAGTAAGATTCCTATATATTTAAATGTTATATTATAACATGCCAGTAAGCATGGTACAAAGTCAGTTATAATTTCTGAATGCTGCATTAATGGACTCTAATCCTTTCTATTTGTGATTTGCAAGCCCTCAGGACGTATTTTACCTTAATAATCCAAGCTGTGGTGATATAAACCTTGATTTTTGGACAGGACCTTACATGTTGTAACCTTTTGAGAGATTTTTTATGACTAGTGTTGCATCTTTGCTGTTTTTTTTTCTACGTTCCGCTACTGAATGTACTTGAAACTCTTGGAAATTTTTATGTAAAAGTTGTGTTTTTTAAAACCGTGTTCTGTAAATGTATGTAAATGAGAAACCTTAACTCTAGTACGCCGAATGTTGTTTTGGAAGACGAAAAATGAGGTGCTGCTGGTAAAAGTCAGTCTTTGACTTTAGAAATATTTGGGGAATACTTTTTGCTTTTCCTCTAACAGAACACAAGAACGCAAGCCTGAGATTCCAAAATTTGTGTAGATTCACAAGAAAATAAAATCATCATTATTAAGAAAATCTGTGGAAAGCATTTAAATTTAACAGGTAATATAGTTGTGTATGGGATGTAAGCTAAAATATATACATTTTTCTCTTAAACCAAGATATGATTTTAGAATATAGTATAACGTTTGAGATCTCTCAGCAAGAGGCTGTAGTCTTAAATGATTCAAATAAAATCAAAACCTTTAAACATTGTAGGGATGAAAACTTATTTTTTTTAGATATTTATCTAGATGATGTCTTTAGGCCTAGGTTTTTCATCATTATGGTCCATGAAAAGTTAAAATCACGCTGATCTTTTTTCTTATTTCCCCTCAAGTTATTTCTACTCATTACCCACTTGCTATGATGAGGTATGCTCATGAGGCACTAGTGTCACTGGAGTGAAACTGTATTGATGTGCCTAAATCTGGAGCAAAGGAAACTAGAAAAATCTTTTGCTTAATTAAGTCTAATTTCTTACAATAAATTAAGTACTTTTAACTATTATTAGACTTAAATATTGTGATTGATCTCAATTAGATCTCAACCGCAAACAAAAGCCTAAAAGCATGTCATTCTGATAACAGAGAGTGAATCCTGATGGTCCTTTCAGACTAAACCTGGCATGTTGAAATGTTAATATACAGTGCATATATATACAGTATGTGTTTGTGTCTATATATACAGACACACAGAAGTTTTTTTTCTGCTTTGATGTGTCGTGTACATACTTATAATATACAGGCTTTCACATACTGACAGAAAAGTAAATTTGACTGCCGCTTCCCAGTAAAAAGTCTTCCCCTCTCCACGTCAAGCAGCTTCATTGATGCCATTGCTGCTGGAATAAGCGAAGAGTTCCTGTTTTAAACAAACGCCAAATTTCTCTGCCCAAAATTTTAGAATTTTAGAAGGCAGAGAGCTGTAGGGAGCAATGTGTCAGCAATGTAAATATATGCCTGAATTATTTTGTTTACAGAAGCTGCTACGTAAGTTTAGCGTTCCCAAACTTCCCACAGAGATGGTACAAAAGCCGCTGATCGGTTTGTAATGAGCTTCCCGTGTCCACGCTTTTTATACAATGCATTTGGTGTGAAAAAGCACCTCCTTCTTGCGTTCATCTTCGTCTCCTCTCCCGTTCCCCCCTCCCCCTCCCGAGGGTGGTGGCTGGTGTAGCAAATTAGCAGGCTGTCCCCGTGAAAGACGACCCTCCCGTTCCGTTCGTGTGCGCTTACAGAACTGACTCCTTTTTTGTATTCCAACTGTACATAAAACCCTTTTCTCCATCTCCTTTACCCTCTGTACTCTTGTATTATAAAAAAAAAACATTCTCCATGTGCTTCACTGTCTCTTCGCGACAAAAAAATATAATTTTCTTTCTGTTTTTTTTTTTGCAACTGTCCCGAAACAATACAAATTAAAAAAGATATATTTAAAAATATAAAGAAAACTCCTGCTGTTCTGGCTCTGTACTCTAAACTTTGCCTTTGTTTCTTCTCATTCTGTATGCTTCTAATGTGCTTTAAATGAACAGTACTATTTATTATATAATTATATTATTTATTATTAATATTATTATTAATAAACATTTCTTTCTTCAACAAGAATCTGTGATCTTTTTGACGTATTGTAAGTTGCTTTGTGTTAATTATTTTTTTCTGGGGGGGTACTGTTAATTCACCTTGAACTCAAGGTGTTACTGCTATAGGCTATAAGCAACATGATGCTGTTTTATTGGCACCAGATAGTGGAATAATGGAGCTCGAAATGGAGAAGTGCTGTTGTTTTTTTTTTTGGCACTTTTCTAGTTTGGTTTTGGAGCAGTATGGCGGCACAGTGGTTAGCGTCGATGCCTGGTGTAGCGGAGCTAGTTCATCCACGGTGACGCCATCGCCCTCCCTGCGCGTAGCAGG